CTCAAGCACTGTTTGCAAAGGTTGCGGCAACTAAAAGCCAGGTAAAGTTCCCAGGGTGCAACAGCCTCCCTGTCTTGTGTGCTTTCCCCTTCCCTCCTCTGGTTTTTATCTGTTTCTGTGTGAGTTACAACGAGTGGCTGGGTTAGCACACCAGCTCCTTGCTGAGTCCGAAGGTAACATCTAGTTACCTTTGACTGGGCAGAGTTGAGAAGTGGCTTCCCGAGGCACATCCCTCCCTCTTGCTCGCCAGCAAGATGCCGTCTCTGCACGCCGGTGGGTCTTGCGCGGCTCAGAAGCATTGGGAACATCAGTTCTTAGCTGGCACGGATGTGCCAAGAGCTGTGTGTGAACTGTAAATATTGCTGCCAAATTCATCTCAAGGCTTGGTGTTTTGCAATTGTACGCGCTGTAAAGAGGAGCACTGGGGTTAATTTTTTTAGTGAAAATGCTTCATCAGAAACAGACCTGGGTGCAGGAGACCTGCTGGTGAGGCTGTGCATTGTGCAGGAGACCTGCTGGTGAGGCTGTGCATTGTGCAGGAGACCTGCCGGTGAGGCTGTGCATTGAGGTGGGGCAGCATTGTCCACATCAGAAACAAAAACCCAACAAATTACAGTTATGCACGTTACATCTCAGAAAACATATATAATCTTTGTGGAATACGCTGGCTGCTTGGTTACCTGCGTGTGTGCATACACGTATATTGCATATTCAGTTTTAAGCCTTTGTTATGTGGTTTCCTATTCTGTTTTCTTCAACTGAAGAATTTCTGTCAAGTTTAGTAGCAAGAGAGGGAAATCAGCAAGCACTTGTTGGGTGTGATTATCAGAAGCGACATGTCTTCTGAGAAAGATCACCAGAGCATGCAAAAGCATTGATTTAAGTGAGAATGTACTCAAGAAGCAAGTAAAGGAAAAATGTATAAAAAAAATGGGAAAGACTAAGATCACAGTTATACCAGCGCTTGAAAGAAATGGTAAAGGCACCAGTGCTTGCAATTTTGAATTTTTCATGTTGGATTAAATGTTAAGTCCGCTTAGTCACTGTTCCTTTACTTTTCTAAAATTGCTTCATAGAAAAATACAGCATCTTCCAGTGAAAGCTGATAATGATCAGTTACACCAGTGTTTCTTGGGCCGTCAGCATTTTAGTGCTGGTTTTCCTTTTAACTTCTCTTTAACTTTTGACTTCTGCGTTGTTCACGTTTTGGAGTTTAGTCCATTTCCATTGTACAGAAAGGATGTAGTCTCTTAAGTTATATGCTATAAGGAGCATTTAAAGGGATATTTTGGAAATGTTATATCAAAATGATTAAACTCAAGCTGTGGACTGTAAAAATTATAGCTTTATAGGCCACATGCCTGCCTACCCTTCAATCACTGTCAAAGTGATAATTTCTACAATAATATGTTTCTTTTATTGTTGGATTCTGAACACCAAGTGCTGTTTAAACATTAAACTGAATTGTTTATGTTAGTGCTGTACTCTGTGTGTCATACATCAGGCCACTATAATCTCCCATGGAATGTAAAAATTCTGTCATGAATCATGGCTTGTATATCGGAAATTACTGTAATTTTGATTGGAAATTACAGGCCTCTTGAAATGTTTCTAATTATGATAGAATGTTACAGCAGCTTCCAACCTGGGTGCTCCTCAGATGTCTTTATTTACACGTCAAGACTTGGGGTTAGAGAACTGTCCGTTTTCTACACGTTTCCATTGCAGTTCTCTGCAAAACTAAGGTATGAAGCCAATCTATCAGTCCACGTAATTTTGATCTGATCTGATTTGTGTAGTAGTGTATTTATTTAAGTGTGTAGTCTTAAAATTTCTAGGAGGGACAGCTCTTCCAAAAAAAACCGATGCTGACTTTAAAAGGGACAGGTAATCAAAGTGAAGCACAAAAGCTTCCAGAGGATGCGGTGCAGTTTTTTTAGAGTATTGGTATAAAATTTAGATCCTTGTACAAACTTTGCTACCAGATACAGAAAACAAACAACACCAAACACAGTGGTTCTTTTTCCTTTTATTGTGGAGATTATGCCTGTGTTCTCAGAGATTGTTTTTCTCCCAGATTTAAGCAATGCAAAGTTATGTGTTAAGCAAGCTTTCAGCTCTGTAGTTAGCCAAAGTCCCATTTGTAGTAGAAAGCTGCTTCACAGAAGTAACGTTTTAGGTAAAGTGGATGTGTTGAGTCTTCTCTAACCAGTTGACTACTAGGCAGCCAATTAATAAGCTTTAAATATGTAGCAAAGACACATATATTAAAGGAGATATCTGTACTGTAAAAAATTCTGTGTTGGAGCTTGTCAGTGGTACAGGAAAGTATTTCTTGGGGCAAAGAAGTCTCCCTTGCACAAAAAAGAGGCTTGTTCAAACATATCATTTAAGAGAACCTCTCTTGAGAGAGTTTCTTTTTGGTATGGGTTTTTTTTTATTATTATTGTTTTGGGATAGTGGTTTCCTGCTCAGAACTGGAAGTCATGGGATAATCGCTTCCAGTTATAGTGAAAAGTCTGGAGGACACATATTAGGAAATGATGTGTTGGTTAACAGTTTTGTTTTTAAAAATAACTAAAATTGAACATTGGTGCTCTTATTTTGGATATAAAAACTTGATTAATTCCTGAGTGTAGTCTGTCATTATGGTATAAAACAGTATGTGACCTAAACCAGCTCTGCTAATGGACAAAGATAGTAGTTTGCTTGAGGGCGGGTTTGTTTTTTGTTTTTGTTTTTGTTTTTTTTTTAAAGGAATTTATTTGGGTCAACATTAGATTGGGTGTTGAAGCAGCCAGCATCTGCAAGGTAGCTGGGCTTGCCTGAGCCGGGAGACTGCAGATAACATTCTGCTGACTAGAGCACTTTGTACGGAAGAGATATTAAATGATGTGATACAGAAGTTTCTATTTAGGTAGTGCCAAGGTAAAAACCGAGGCTCTTCCCTTTTGCTGTGTTAGTGCCTTTGGCAGCAGTTACCTAATTCACAGAGGACCACATGTGGGCCTGATGCTCAACAAACCAGCTGGCTCCAGGGGCTCAGTGCGGTGGAGGTCATAGCACAGGGCCAGGAGGGGGTGACAGGAGCAGGATGAGATTGCAGTGACATTACTGACACTATGCTCTGGCTTAGGTGAGTGATGATTTGCATACTTGTAGTTTCACGGTGTGCTTTGCTGGTGGCTTGTTGACTTTCCCAAAGAAAAGGGACTATCTCGCACATGGGTTTGAATGAGTTTAGGGACTTGGCTAGAAGATTCCTTCAAATGTTTTATTCTTTTCATGTATAGAAATGTATGCATTCTGTATATTTTTAAAGTTTATATGTTTTAAGGATTGATGTATTATATGCAGAATAAATTCAAATTCTGTTAAATTCAAATTCTGTTATTTCCTCCCCCATTGCTTTAAAAGTTAGTATGGTTATATTGAGGAGCTAAGGAAGATATTATAATTCAAATTGCTTGAATATATCATATCGTTGAGGATTTTTAGAATTGCAATTAGCAAAACACCTAACATCAGTACTTAAAATCTTACATTTTTATTGCAAGTTGTCTACCTGATAGGTCTAGCTATTTTTTTGTTAGGTTATGTTGAAAAGAGAGCTTTAGAAAAGTGCGTGCAAACGGAAGACAGAAAGGTTTACCAAGTGCTTTGTGGCTGCTCCCAGGTTGTTGTTTTTCAGTGGCAGGATAGCAATACTAACAAAATTGTTTGCTAAAATTTAATCAGCACACCTGAATTAGTCAAAATGAAAAGAATCCACACATATATAAATTTGTGTCACATGCATTACTTTTACAATTTAATCATATTGGGGTTTTATTCAATTTATAACCCGACAGTCTGATTCAAGTAATTATGAAAGCACATTCTTAATTTCGTTATTTCAAACAAACAAAAAAAAGTTGATTTGTGTAATGATCATTAAGGCATCATGGTTCAGTAACTGTGCATTGGTTACAATGTTTTCATGTGGGAGCCAGGGGTGAGTTTTTTTCTTGATGGTGACAGATGCTGAAATCTAATTTTATTCCATAAAAACAGACAAACAAACAAAAACCCACCAAACCTAGGAGCCCTGAGAGATAAGGCAAGTAGAGACTTATAGTGCTCCTGTATGTTTGCTGTGTTTTAAGAAGCTACATTTATGTTCATGGCTTATGCTGAAGAGCTGTGGCCTGCACATGCTAATATGGAACAGGGAAAATCAGCTTACATTGCTAAAGCTTTCTTAAATTTAGGAAATTACAGTTTGCAAAAAGTGAAGCAATATTAAGTTCGGTGACTCGGAGAGTCCCATGCACTACAGTGTAAGGCCCTTAGCCTGCTTTATTATAGCGAAATAACTTTATAGTAGAAAAATAGGTAAAATTGATGCTTTTCTGCAGTGTCAATCCTGCCAATTACTGTGCCAGGTAGGTGTCAAATGCCCTCCCTTCTCACCAAATAAAAATACCTATACTACCTATAAGTTGAAAGCGAGACACTTGGCTCTCCCAGAATCATGCTCTGATTTTAATTTTAGTATAAAACTAATGGAGTACTACCCATACCTCCAGAAACCTCCTGTAATTACAAAGAGTTTTGACCCGTTACTTCTGAGCTGTTGCACCATGTTGCACAATTTCCTGTCCTTCTGTCCCCATCTTTCACTTTGGTTAGGCAGTTAGCCCCATGGAAATGAGGAGTTTCACATGCAGAGCA